AAACCATATTTGACTTGTAAAGATGAAACTCATCTGAGCACATACTTGGACTAGAATCGAAAGGTTGCCATCAATATAGAGCAAAGCAAGTTCAAGTACATGATCTATGACTCTATTGTAACTGGTTAGATATAAGATCCTAGATAAGTGCAGGCTATGGCCATGGGCCATGGCACTGCCTTTTCCTGAGGTTAGCTTCCTCTTTAAGTCTAGGCTTTATAATGCCTACCATTAATTTATTTAAATTGACCTATCTCATTGTTTAATGCCTAATGGGAGAAGAGATATGTCATGCAATTTCTGTAGAGTGTAGGGGATCAAGCATCATAACAGTCACCTAAACTAAGGGTAGCTCAATCCAGAATGACAATTTAAAGCTAAAGGGTAGAAGAAACTGAACTGCTGTACCAGACATGCAATCGATGATGCAGGAGAGAAGTTCTCGATCATAGCAGAAGATATGGGGGGAAAACAGCAGTCAGATTATACAAAAGGAGTTAAACCTGCTAATAACATGCATCCACAAAAAGGTAGGATGTCAAAACTTAGATCTCTCCTGAGGGGCAACGGCATAAACACCTAACAAATAAATAAAAGAAATTTGTCTACAGATTCATATTGCTCAATGTTGTCGTATATATAAAACCAGCATAGTGAAAAGAAAAATGTAAAACAATGTTACTAAAATTTTCAAATTCATAATTACCCAAGTGAATCCTGTTTAGATCTAGGTTTTGCAAATGTTATATTATATATACCCACTCCTTCAAGCAAATATCAATTGTTTCCTAATGGTTCTGAAGCCAATCACACACCAAAAACTCCATATAGTATAGTTCAATTAAACCCAGACCCTAATTTGTGAGTTGAAAAGCTCAACCCTGACGAAACCAATTCAGATTCAGGTTGGGGATATCATTAACTAAAATCCAGTTGACCATTGCATTGATTCAAACTTTGCATCTGATCAGGTTGCTACACTGGACTGTCTAGATTATATCAATCTAATAAACAATTATTCATGATGAGCATGTTCGAACTTTCAGTATAAAACAAATGTATGCATGTGAAAATCAAACTGTTCCAAGTCAGGTCAGGTTAGAGCGAGATTTATTCCTAAATCAATCCCTAAACTTAGTCCAACTAGAACTCAACATGATTCAGAGGAATCAGGTTATTTCTATGTAAACTAATATATTTCACAACAAGGGCAACTATGAAAATAAATAATCTCCATTAAACCTTCGTGGCAGTTGATAGATGCCTTTTTCTAACAGATATATTAGATATAACAGGGAAAACAAATGGAGCAGAACTAGCTTTGTGTTATAAACAGAAAAGAACCAGCAGACCTGGAGATTATGGGTGATGGGTAAATAATCTCCTTCGACTGAATTCGCACCTGAAGTTGCATCTCCTTGACATCTCTTAGTCTATATTCCCAGTACAAAGTATTTAAAAATCCTGCACTGCTGAAGCTGAAAATCATAGAGTAACTAGTAAGTTTCAAGGTTTTTTTTTTATTGGAGTAAATCATCTCTGTAAATTCAAATTAAGAAATGACCCTCTCTCAATTAGTAGATAGTGAGGGTCCTGATGAAGCAACCCAATTTGACTTGATTTTCCTTCAGTAATTGATTTTTTTAACTCAAAAGCGAATGGTTAGCTATAACTTGTTATTCTGGTTAAGCTATAGCTAAACATCAACTGCAAAGAGCTCAAGCAAATTACTTGTTAATATTTAAAAAAAAATTACAAAGAAAAAGTTAATACTGTCTCATCTAAATTTAATAGATATCGTTTAATGATTTTATTTGTTAACTTATATTGTATTTTTTCCCTTGTCTATGTTTGTTATGGACTGAGCCAAGAATTCAAGATAATCTCCAACATATCAAAATAATCCCTCTCACTCAGACTTTTTACCGACAGCTGAGCAGAATTTCAGATTATTCTTTAACCCTCAGATGAGCATCAATTCAGATGTTTTTCAATGCTTAATACATTGGTAAAGTTCTCCAAAATTTTTAGATTACGTGAATTGAGTTTATATGGTAAACGATATTAACAATAAACTTTTATGATATCTTTTCCACTGATACTATGAAGTTGTATTATTATCATCTTCCTCTCGGTCGTTTTGTCATGATATTTATTACATTAAAGCACAGAATTCTAAATATTCCAGAAAAGAAAAGATATCAAATCTCATTCCCAGTTATATTATCATTCAACGAGAACTTAAGTAATTTATAGTACATAACACCATAAAACAGAACGAAAAAACCATGGGCATAACTAGCAGTACAGTTAGATGTCAAAATAATCACATTAGTATCTCAATGAAATCTAAGAAGGTTACATCATAGTCCTGACAATACTTACAAAGAGTCTCTCATCTGCGCATAGGGCATTGTAGAGAGCTTATAGAGATATCCATCCAAAACAGAAATGTTCAGCCAGTTTCTACACAGAAGCACCTCTGGAAGCTAAATGAGACAGCTGAAAGTCATCCTGCTTACTCCTCTTGCTGCACCAAAGCGTTGAAAGACTCCTTTGATGTCCTTCTTCATTGACACTTAATACCAACCGCTGAACTTGGTGTATGAAAATCGCAAACACCCAGGTATAAGCTAAAGTTTTCTGTCCAAAATAATATCCTCTCTGGTATGCTTGAGCTTTCCTGCATATGCTAAACTATCCTGTTTTCTGGATCTGATCACCTGAAAATGTACCAAATTCTTCTAGTATTACACTGATGAACTGGCAGGTAAAATGATTAAAGAGTATATTACATCATCTTTTACTGAGAATGACCTTTTGTAAATTCAGATAAAATGTTTTGTGCTCCTTGGAGGCACCATCACATGCCTCAGCAGAAGTATCTGACGAAGTAACCATAGACGGTACCATCATGGCCCAACAAACATGGCTAAGCCTTCTCTATATATGTGACTCTCTGCTCCAAGTCTGGAGGTATATAAGTGGTCTACTTAGATCAATCAATAAACTGAGCTCACATATATGGGTCATGAAGATATCATCAAAATCCATGGAAATGTTTTATTACTTAGAGAAGCAGCTTTTAACTGTGAACACCTTCAGTATAAGACCTCCCTCCAGAGTTTTAAGATATGATTCTCTTTCCTCTCTATTAACAAAATGGAGGAAAAGATGCCCCATTTAGATACTAAAAGTTGATTCCGACAACTTCTTCAGCAGGAAGTTTCCTTAAACTCCACTTTCTCCAGTATTAACGGATTCATTTTTTCTTTGCCTATCAGGCTTGTTCAGACACACTATTTCCTCCAAAATGGCATGTACTTCTTCATAATTTTTGACACGGCGGATGATCCCAGTACTAATTTGGGAAAGCAATCCACTTGAAGGAGCATTTTTTAACATTTTGTCCTGTTCCCCCTTTGCTGTTTCTATTCTCCTGTTCTCCTGTCCGCCATTTTCTATTTTCATTTTCAAACAGTCCTTTCCCCTATTTTCTGTTTCCATTTCCCTATTGCATTGTTTCACTTTTACTATTTCCATTTTCGTATAGTCCTCTTCTGCTTTTATTAATTCCATTTTTCTCTTCTGATCAATTCCCCTATTTCTCCTTTTAGATCGTTTTCCATGTTGTGGCTCTGGCATAGGTACGCCTCCATTTGGATGTGTGAGGAAACCATTTTGCTTTATCTCTTTCCACTTTCTCATTGCTTCGCTCTCCTCCACAGGACTAGAAGAACAAGCATTCATTGAAGAATATGCAATTTGTAGCTGTCTCGCATCTTTTAAGGAATAGGAGGAACTCGTCCCTAACGAAGTTGAGTTTTCTACATCACCAATGACAAGGGGTTCGTCAAAGCATGTCCTAGCAACCCCTAAACTGCTGTTAGACGAGGCGATACTGCAATTGTAACCCACACTCAAATGGCTAACATTCTGTTTGAAACGCTCATTGTTACTATCCATAGTCCCTTCTAAAATTCTATCCGAATGCCCAAATGCAGTAACCTCTCCAATTTGGTAATTCAGCTCTTTTTGACGGCGTATCGGCGCCATGGATTTTTATGGAAATTATTGTTCGCAAGCTTCAAATCCTGGTGCATGGAGCTACCATTCAGAGAATGATATCAAGGGGCAAGAATAAAAGCCAAAAGTAGTAGAACATGCACTTTGCGCCTCAGCAGATATATACAGCATTATCTGAACATTTATGATAAAGAAAACATTTATGACTTGAAAAAATAAGAAATCTCCAAAAACATTTATGACTTGAAAAAATAAGAAATTTCCAAACATGAGTTGTAATTTGTTCATGCATACAATGATGTGATTCATTTGTGTGTGTATACAGGGAGAGGCCTTAATGCTCCTAGGGCGTAATTATCTTGGTTATGACAACCTCCAAATCAATTTGGATGATCCACTCAGTTATTTTCACAACCGCCAAATCAATATTGTCTGAGAGATCTACCAAAAAAAATGTCGGGTTCTAGTTACTCATGCATCAAAGTGGTCCTAAGATTAATGGTTTTACAACAATGCAACTAAATAGATAGCATGAGCAGGGACTAGAAGCCCAGAAACGCCAAGATTTTTCATATAGAGGTCTTAGTCTTAGGAAATGTAGATCATAATGAATGGAACAGACCATCCATTGGCACAGCCTATCAAGAGGTCTCTTCAGTAGTATTTCCAGATAACCGTTAATTTATTTTTTGCATCCACTTGATGCATAAACAATACACACATAATGTATATCAATATATGATTTTTCATTGATAGAGTTTTCGATAGATTTACATTAAGTTGAACAGATTTCCAGATTCCAGACCATTCAGTCGATGGAGAGACATACAACACCAGAACCCATATAACTTTACTTAATCATCTAAATTAACAATAATACTCATTTCTTTTTTTTTTTAAATTGTAAACTGCAAATTACTAAGCATCACCAGTTACCCAAAAAAATCGTACTCCGTTAAGCTTAAAATGGCCAATCGAGACAAGATTTACCGATCTAGACACAACTGAGACCAAATTGACAGAATAAATCTAAATAAAACAACCAAACTGAGGCCAAATTAGACGGAATTCATACCACAAACATCACTTCAGAGCTCGATTCAATCATCCAGGAGCGACCCCCCGCCCCTTTCCCCGAGAGATTTCGTGGCGGCGGCTGGAAACCCTAACCCTAACCCTAACCGCAACTTCGAGCAGGGACTGCTAGAGAAGAGATGGGATAGGATCGAAAGGGGGGGGGGGGGGGGGGAAGGAGAAACGTGGATCGATAGGCGGAGCAGGAGCCTAGGGTTTGGGATCGAGGGAGAGAGAGGGGTTTCGATAAAAATGAGATTTTCGAGGTGATTTTGGGTTTTTATAGTTTTCTCTTGGTTCGAGGGAGCGGGAAGTGGGCGAAGTGGCTGTAGCCATAGTGGTCTTATTTATAGGACGCCTCTTCGGTCAGATAGAAGACATGATTTATTTCCTTTTTCTTTTCCTTTGCTCATGAATTTTTTTTTTTAAAGAGGTAAATTCACAGAACTTTGGGGTTTTTGCACAGAAACCCTGTGAGTGATTTTTTTTTAAACTCTTAAAATCATTAAAAATTGTATATTCATACAAGTTTGGGGCATTTGCAGAAAAACCACCTGAGTGATTTCCTTTTATGCTTAAAATCGTTAAAATGGTTTTTGTTGAGGATGTGATAGGCTCTCAATTGTTTTTTTTTTTGAAAGAATCAAAAAAATTTGCTACGGACTCTATTCGTCACAAATGGAACTATAAAGGTTTGGTTGCAATTCGGTGATACTAAGGGGGTCTACTCATAGTTAACATTTCTTTAAAAGGTTAAATTTACAGAACTCTGT